TAATCTCTTTCCTAGTTTCAGTCTGATGATCATAAGGCACCTCCACTGCCTTGTAGCCTCCTGCCTTTAGACATTAATCAACTTAATAAAACAGTGATTAATTCCAGGCGATCCAATGACAATAAAAATACAATATAAAATAAGGTATAATTTTTCCTATTTAACAATTAAAATACAGGGAAAATAAAAAGGATTTAGCCTGGTGCCGAAAAGCATATAAGGCTCTAGATGCACCTCTCTGACAAGCTGGTTCCATAGCTGGGGGTCACATTGCTGCTCATGGGGAGGCTAAGGTAGGATTGGAAGGTTGATGTTGAAAGATTGTAGGCTACAATAACCCTGCAATGTATTCACTATTGCTTTTCACATATAAAGGTGAGGGGACAGCTGTAGCTAAGAGTACCAGCCTACGTGTGTTTAGACAGAAATAAGTACTAGAACTCACAGCCTGCTGGAAGCTGCAGAACTTACTCTGTGTAAACATGCATAGGCAAAGGATTGTACCATAAGGGGGAAATCCAATCAATTGTACCCTTGCTGCTTGGATGCCTCCAAACTATGGAAACTTCTAAAATTCCTATGCCCTGCAGGACTGAAGCCAGTACAGTGGGAGGAGTGGCAGAGCTGATATTTGCCTCCTCATCCTCTGTCTTCACCTGGAGAAGACTCAGAATATTAGCTTTGCTGTTGTCTCCTGTGTCGTCTCTTCCCTGTCCACCTGAATGACTTTGCTCCTCCTCCACCTCTATCACTTTTCCAACCTTGGAGGACAGCCAGTGCAGTTGGGTCCTTCTGTGCTGGCTGCAAGATGTCAGAGGAGGAGGCTGGATCTCCAACTCTCCTTCTGATGTCAGTGTCTCTGACCTTAGAAGGGGTTTTCCCAAGCATTTTTTGGTACCTGGGATGCTTGCCTAAAGACAATAGGATTGCTCTCTAAGGCGGCAATCCTATGTGTGTTTGATACCATCGACTGTGCTATCCTTCTGGAAAGGTTGGCTAGGTTGGGAGTTGGGAACACGACTCTACGGTGGTTCTGCCTGTACCTGGCCAACCATCTCCAGATGGTGTTGTTGGGGGATTATTGCTCTGCGCCATGGTCTCTGCACCATGAACTTCCATAGGGCTCTATGTTGTCCCCCATGCATTTCAACATCTACATGAAAACTGCTGGGGTGGTCATCAGGAGGTTTGGGCTCAAGTGTCATCAGCGCTCTACTTAGCTCTACCTCTCATTCTCATCATCTCCAGGTGAGGCAGTGACTCTTCTGAACCGGTGTCTGAGCTTGGTAATGGACTGGATATGGGCCAATAAGCTGAAGCTCAATCCAAGACAGGTACTGTTGGTGTGGCATCCATCTGTTCAACTGGGGACTTTTCAACCTGTTCTGGACAGGGTTGCACTCCCTCTAAAGCACAAGGTTCACAGCTTTGGAGTACACCTGGATCCCGAGTTGTCACTTGCTGCCCAGGTGGTCTTGGTTTCCAGGATTGCTTTTTATCAGCTTTGGCTGATCTATCAGCCGCATCTCTATGTGGAAAAAATGGAGCCTTGCCACAGTTATCCATCTATATCCAGGTAACCTCCTGCTTGGATTACTGTAATGCCCTCTATGCGGGGGCTGCCTTTGAAAGCAGTCCGGACCTTGTAACTTGTCCAAAATTGGGCAGCACGCCTCCTGACCAGGACTGGAGTTCATGAGCATATTACCTTGGTCCTTTGCAGGCTACATTGGCCCAATTCAAAGTGCTTACATTAATACATGAAGTCCTAAACCAGTGGTTCTCAACTTGTGGTTTGCGGACCCCTGGGGAGCCATGATGTCATCACCAGGGGTCCAGGGAAGGCCTGAAGAAATGTTGTGGTTTTTTGCAGTTAAATCTGAATGAACAAATGAGTGAATGAATGAAAGCAAGAGGGAATGGGAAATAGAATAACATCTTAATTTTCCATGCTTGTTTGTAAAACTTGGCTTTTTAACCTATTGCCCCAATTAAAAACAATCAGAGGTATAAATCAGCTGAGAGTAGTTGTCTGATGGCAAATAAGTGCGTTTGGTATTTCTGGACACACTGAGAACCTGCAAGTGGATGACTCTGAGGGGCAGGAAGCACATGACATTTCTTGATATTGTGCAGACAGCCAGAGAACACGGGGCAGAGAAAGCCAAGCCTCAGTCATCTGTTGTTTGTTTGTTAAGGTTTTTTTTTATGTTGCTACACTGGATTTCATAACAGCGCATTTCGGTTTAGCCTCAGGATGGATCGCTGGCTGAATTTGAAACATATAGAATCATTGCAATAAAGATATTAAAATAGGAGTGTGTGCATTAAAAGATTAACTTATTTTCCCATCTTTCCAAATTTGAAGGCCCTTCATGAGAAAACTGAAATAAATATTTCATGCAGTCTAGTGCTTTAAATCTTAAGTCTTGGTGGTCTGTGGCCACAAAAGGTATTTCAAGGGGGTCCATGGTGAAGGAAAGGTTGAGAACCATTGTCCTAAAGGATTTGGGGCCAGGTTATCTAAGGGAGTGCCTCTTTCTATATGTACCAGCCCATTCACTTTGGCCCTCATCTGAAGCCCTCCTCTAAGTTCTTCTAGTGAACAAAATGAGGGAGGAGATTGCAAGGAGGACTTGTTCATGTATAGCACCCCATCTTTGGAATTCCACTGGTGGTCTGGTTGGTGTCTTTGGCCTTTAGGCACCAACTGAAGGCATATCTGTTCCATACTTATTTTAACAGGTGGATTCTTGATTTTTAATGTTTAATTTTTACATTAATATATGCTGTTGCCAATACGTTTTAAATGCTAGTTATTGATCAAACTAAAAATGATTTAAGTTTTATTTTTATGTTTTATGTATTATTTATTGTTCTATTCTTATTTTGTTTAATTTAATTTTGGTAGCTTGCTTATGGATTGTATTGTTATTGGTCTTTTATGAGTTCCTGTGTTGTGTATTGTATTGTTTATTATGCTATTTATGGAATTCATCATGATGTAAGCCTCCCAGAAAGCCTATGGCTAGTGGAATGGGATATAAATAGAATAAATAAATAATAGGCATAAAAACAATTCCTAGTATGCTTCATGGCTGTTCAAAGGGATGCTGGAAGTTGTAGGAGTTTTTCCTGCTAAAATTGATTTAAGAAAGCCAGTGTGGCATAGTGGTTTGAGTGTTGGAATGAGACTCAGGAAATTCAGGTTCTAGTGCCCACTTGGCCATGAAACTTACTGGGTGACTTTGAGCAAGTCACAGACTCTCAGCCTAACCTACCTCACAGGGCTGCTGTGAGGATGAAATGGAAAGAAATTTGTTAGCCACCCTGGATTCCTTGCAAGAGTCAAAAAGACTAAATATAACTGTAATGTAATTATAATTCAGACAATTCTGCTGTGTAATGTTGTCTACTGCTAGGATCCCCATTATACTGTGCTGGTGGTTACAGCCATCTTGTATTATGCAGTCTCTATCTTATATCAAAGCTGGGGCTGAGAGCAACATGTACCATTTATTTGTTTAATTAATTTTCTATCACCCAATAGCCAAGTAGCATCTTTCTAATAAATGATTCTAAGAGCTGTCACGAATTCAGTATTTTATTAGTGAAATACATCACAGGCCACACAACTGTTGCACAGAATTACACATGTGCTGCCAGGATGGGCATTGACACAGTGTCTACAGGCATTTCAAGCAAATTCATAATGCTAACAGCCTGTGTGTGTCCAAAACACATAGACTCTTTACCTATGCCTGTTGGAAACAGGCAGGTGAGTAAATGCCCCCTCTCCCCGGCCCTAGTATTTTGCAAGGTAAATTTAGCTACATTTGCCATCTCTTCTGACTCTAAGTGGAAGATCATTTGAATGCGGCTACATTATGTTCACACACTCACACACACGCAGTAAAATACTGTAAAATGCAGGTCTTGACACAGGAAACGAGGGGTATGAACATTTTTCGGCCTCATGTGCTGCATGTGGGGACGCCATAGGCGTTGGGAGGCTGCTGGTGCACCCTCAGCACCGTCTCCCCCAGTGCAGGGCTTGTTTCGCTTCCCATGGCTCTGAATAACGGCTTGAGTTGGTGTGGCAGCAGCGCCTTCCCCACCTCTGCTGCGGGAAGCTGTAAAGAGGATCCATGTGCTGCCCATGATAATTCTCTTAACAAACCACAAGAGCTTCTTTTCCTCATGGCATGACAATGGCCTTTCCACTACTTTTCTAATTGGATATTTCTACTTGGGTTGCTTCTGGAGAGGATAGCAGCTAACATACACCACTCCACCTGTATATACCTTGTCGTACCCCTATCATGCCGCAAAGTAAGCGTTGACTTTCTTCGTCTGGTAGTTGCTTTGTGGGCATACTGATGCACCGCTCACTCCCCTGCTCAATGCGAGGGCCTCTGCCTCCAAGCCAAAAGCTCTGCCAAATTCTGTGGGGCTGTTAGAAAGCAGCTTGCTGGCTAGCTTACAGCTGATGTGCCATCAGGCTTATTTTTTCCCTTTCTCTTCCCATCTGCTTTTCCTCCGTACTGTTACTTTTTAGTTAGTAAGCCAGAGAGCTGATCTTGTCCTTTTTTATTGACTGCATGTAAATACTCCTCTCCAAGATGGTGCTGATGATGATTTTGGGTTTGGTATTCGGTTGCTTTAGTGAGACTAAGGCAGTAAGCCTGTGCTAGTACTTTATCCGCGAGCGAGTAGAGCCGGTCCAATTACTTGGGATTCGATGGGTTTCCCTCTTTTCTTTCTCACTGTTTGGATTCAGCCACCACAGCATTATGCTAAAGCTTGCAACTCAGCAGAAAGCAGCTGCAAAATGCGCCACCGTGGTGGTGAGGGACGCGAGCCCCTTTCGGGTTCAGGAAAAGTTAACTGGGGCAAAGGTGGAGCTCGGAGGCCGAGACTCCCTCGCTAGCTCCGCCTGGGGGTGGGAGAGGCGAACTTGGGAGATCCGTTGGGACAGTCTAGCCTGCCGCGGCTGCTGCTCGATGTTCCCCGTCGGAAAAGCTGCCCCGGTAAAGAGGGGTCGCCTCTGCCCAACTAGGACCGACACGCTCTTGCCGGGGTGCCCCAGGCAGTCCTGCCTGCTCTGCTTGGCCCCACGAGCTTAAGGCAGCGTCGCTCCGGCTAGGACGGTGGCGTGTACAACGCGGAGGATCGCGCTCAACTCCTGCTCTCATGGGGGAATATATCTCCCCACTTACGCACGATTGCGCAGTCAGAGCATGCGGGCTGGAGTTCCCTTTTAGCAGGGAAAGCACGTGCGACGATGAACTGTCGAACCCCGTTTGCGCCGAAGCGCTTGCCGACACGCCCCCTCTCTGGCTCCTTTGAAAGGCCACGAGGATTTCCCCATCATCTCTCCTCTTCCTGTTGGCTCTGCGTTGCTGCCGCACGGGGGACCTTTCCCTTTAGTCCCGGAATGTATTTCAGCCCGTTTGCAGCGAAACGCTTTCTTTGCCTGCTGTCTCCTCTTACGCCTATGGATCGGTTGATTAGGGTACAGTAGATAATCGCACTTAAATCCCTCTGCGCTATTTTCTCTTTCAGATCTGCTTAGATGGTTAACCCTGTTTCTTTCTTGTCTTGAAATTTCATCGAGCAACTCTTGCTTGAATTTTGCAATTCTGTAAGCAGTGGGTGGGCGAGGGTAATTTTGAGCAATACGTTGAAAAATTTACAAACACTAAAAGGCATATTTCCTAATGGGTTGGCAATTGTACGTTTTGAAGCTAAGAGTTCCTTAATTGCAAGTCATCGAACCCTTTTGAACTATCTTTGGTGACACTCCTAAAGAGATTAACAATGCAATTCCCTGCATCGCTATCTGGAAGCAAGGTCCATTGCTTTCAATGCGGGTTACTTCCAGTGAAGTGGGTGCAGGATGCAGCCTGAGGAATACCATATGCTCCTCTTCTTTGAAGCTTTGTTAGAGCAAAGTTGTAACGTACTTGGTCTTTACTATTATTAGTACAGAACCCAGAGTTAGCGGTCATTCTGAGTTACTGTATCCCCAGTAAAAGGGAGTGTCTTAATATGTTTAGTAGCAAAGCCTGCCTCATGGAAAAACTGCCACTCCACTCCCTTGCCTGCTATCCCTACAAATGCTCTGTTCTGTTCAGATCAGGACGCATTGCCCTGGGGGAAATACTTTGCTGCTTCATTGCACTAGTAGGAAGCAGTTCCTTTTGCAATGGGCATGTTGCTGCAATCTCATTTTTTTTGTTATAGGAGGTGGATAGTATTACCACTTTTATGAAGCAACCAGCAGAAATGATCGACACTTATGGGTTCTTCACCTGGAAGACTTTAACCAAAAGCGTGCTTTTGGGAACTGCTTTTAAAGGGATGGGACAAGATGGCTGCAGGGTATTTGCAAGGCAGTTATAGAATATATTTTATTCCTGGGTGTGACTTTCTAGATAAAGCAGTAGTGGGATTTCGCTGGCCCTCACCAGGCTCTGGTCCATAATAAGGGTTCCAACATTTTGAGATTTCTGAGGGAGCCACTACAATTGGGTAGTGCCTACTTGTAGATAGCTGTGATTTTATTTGGCAGAGCCTCTGCAGTATGATGAGAATCTACTTAGCCACCCTCCACTATCATTTAAGTTCTATAGGATACATGCTGCAAAAATTTGTTTATGCAAGTCCCAGGTTTTCAATACAAATCTCACTACAGTGGTTCAACTCTGACTTCTGTTGATGGCTCAAGATGTTCTCTGAAAACTCTTAAAACATAAAACTGGTTTTAGGTGGCATATGGTGAGCTGTCCTACCATTTTTTTAGCAGTTCACTATGAAGGGGAGTTTAGGGGTACCAAATGGATTTCTCCTGGGAACCCTCTAAGTATCATTGGTTTATCTGCTTTAATTTCTTCACAGCATTCAGCACAGTATTTGCAGCTTTAACAAATGCAGACAAGAAATGTATTGTTGTTGGTTGTGATATCTTATAATTTACAGAAACCATTTGAAATCTGGGCAGGGCTTTTCCTTAATGCATTGAAAACTGAAGCTAAACTGGTTTTCTGTTGCTCTTGCTGCCTCTAAACAGGTGAAATAAAAGAGGCTTCCAAGGCGGAGTGTGGCCACAGGAACAGCAAGTGACTATTTGTCTTGGAGTACGATGCCCACGGATGATGCCCCCTCAACCTTAGTGAAAGTGCTCCACCTGGTTTTCCTTTCAACTTTCTGGGGAATGCAGATATGGGTCACTTTTATATCCAGTAGGTTGGATCTTCTGCACAATCTAGTCTATGCACACATAGGTTCAAAGGCCAATTAATTATAATGACTTCCTTCATTAGTATGACTTAGGAGGAATTTGGCATATCTGGCTATATGTATATGGGCTAGGCAAATAGGATGATAACACAGTGGAAAACATAAGATTTAAAATCTGGATTAGTTTCTATTTCTAGCTCCAGCAGGGGAAACCCTAACTATGGAAATCCTTTCTGTACTCCCCAATAAACAACTAAAAGGATCCCAGTTATTCAGTCAGAAGAGATCTGTGTAGACCTAGTTATATTGTACCCAAGATAAAACAGTATAAAATATGTAAGAAAAGTATTTTCAAAGAGACATGGGATAAGAATAGGTTATTTCAATGACCCAATTCCTTTGTGCATTTTCAGGTTTTGTGATGGAAAATAATCTCTCACGACACACATTCAGATTCATTCAAAGTTTCCTCTTTCCTTATTACTTGCACATCGGTTCTGCTTGCGCTTTCATCAACCTGACAATATTTGCCATGTGTCATCCCAGCGAACTTCTCAATGAGGAAGAAACCATGCAGGTAATAGGTCCCCGTTTTTAGAAGAATACGATGCAATAAGCATTTAGTAAGTGGCATTCCGTTGTCTCCTGTTCTGTCTTGTTTGTTATGCAACTTGTACATCAGCATGCCTGCCTTACAAAGAAATGGTTAAATGAGAAGCCATTGAAGTACCAACTACCCAGACATTCTGGGTTTATGCAGTGAACTTCCCATAAGGCTTCCCATAAGGACTGCCACAAGTATTAGTGGGAAGACCAACACATTAGCAGAAGTGTCAGGCTAGCAAAGAATGATTGAGTTCCTGGAGACGATATCCCTTATGCAGAAATATGACCAGTATTAACCTTGCTTTGAAAGTAGTTGTACAGTCCATTCCCTAGCCTGCTTTTGTAGCTCTTTCGTACTACTGGGGTAAATGGCAGTTGCTGAAATGGTTCAGGGACTTATACCAGCCACAAACCCTGGTATGCAGTACCTACTGATTTATATTCCCTAACAATAAAAGTTCCCAGCATAACTGTCTTTCCTTTCCAGATTACAGTCTTTTTCATTTGCGTCATAGCTGCTGCTCTAAATGCTCAGTGGTTTGGGCAAGTGACTTCGGACATTATGGCTGAAATGCATCTGATTGAGCAAAGCTATGGCTTCGGAGGGGCTGTTGGGTTGTTCTCAAATAGATCCCTCATCCGGTTGCGTCGACTGGATTCTAATTACAAGGATCTGACCAACAGACTGAGCATCTACCATGGCTTTTCCTCCCTTTGCAACCTGTGCTGCATTGCATGCAATGCCTTGAGTCTTTACTATATGGCTGCTCACCTGTCAGCACTATAATCACAAGGACAACTAACCCAAAGCTCAGGCTTCGCATGGGCATGTTTGTGAATATATGGGCTACAGTGGCTTAAGCCATGTTATGAACTGCTATAGAGCACACTTCACAGAAGAGTCACAGGCTGTTGAGTCACCATTTTTCCAATTTTGTATGCTGCAAAATCTCTTGAGCAACTGTGGGATTTAGTAGTCAGTGCCCTAACTGAACTTTAATACAAGTCTGAGCTCCTGGTTGATCAATAAGAAAGTTCAGAGAGGCTGAAGTACCTAAAACAATTTAAAACCACCAAGATATTAATTTTAAGTACCATTCTTGGTTTTTTAAAACTTCCTTGATCAGGGTGGGTCGTACATCTTCCCTCCCAACCCTGCTTTCACAGTCTATAGTCTCAGTTCTGGGAGGAACTCAACTAATACTGCAAAAACGATCAAGTCTAAATATCTACTGATCACATAGAACATTTCAAAAACAAGCTATGCAGAAATACAGTGATGGTATTTGTACAATGTAAGGACTATTTGATACACTGCTTTCATGCTCAAATGGGGCCCAGTACCTCTTTCAGCCCAAAGGTCAAATTTCATTTTGGAATTGCATCCCAGTGGTGGTTGGGGCAGAAAGGGTGGGGTCAAAATATTTATTTTAGCTTAATACTCTTAATGCAGGTAACCAAGACTTAAAAGATGTTTTCCAGCCTTTTAGAGTAGGTGAGCAGAGGTGTGCTGTACAAAAAGCAGGAAACCACCAAATGGTTGGTGGCTGGGAAAAGGACATGTGGCTGTCTGGGAAATGCCAGAGGATGAGCTTGGGGTCCATGGTGACCTGGGCTGGGCCCAGAGACCTGCTATTTTCCACCCATGTAACTAGCAGGGAGGGCAAAGATCCTGAAGCCACAAAGTGAAGCAGTTGGGTAGATGTGAGAAATGCACTTCTTCCAGAAATTAAATCTTACTGTAGAATATATAAAATGTGTTGGACTGCATCTTCTGTTTAGTCTAGTCTAGTCCCCTGCTCCCCCCCCCCCCCCGTAGGCTAGTTTGATCTTAGTACAGCAAAAAAACAGTAAAACTGCAAAGTTCTCAACAAAGAGCTCCACATTCTTTTGTTGAAGAACACAAGACAGTAGTGAATAAGCTATAGCAGTGCTGTAATCTCTGTTGCTGTGAGCAAGCAGACAATCTTATCTGTTGATCCACATGACTACTGGATAACAGCAGGCAGGCGGACTAGAACTCATACATTCCAGTCCAGCTGCACCAGTGGATACAAGTAGAGCAGATACACCTTAAATCTCTCATATGATGAATTAATGGCATGTACTATTATGTTAAAATTCACTGTCCCATTTGGTCTCAAAAGTGGAAGCCCTGTGTACAATTCAAATGATTTATGGCAACTTCTGTACTTTGAGAACTAACTTGATCTTCAAACCAAGACTCTCCTTCTCTTAAGCAAAACTCCGTGTTTTATGTTTTAACAATTGAGATGCAAAATGTCATTCCTTTACTGGAAAAGGTGGATAAAGAGGCTTATTCACCAAAATGATTGTGTAATACAAGAGGAAATTTAAATAAAAATGTTGGTGCTAATTGTGTAAATAATCTCATTCCTTTTCAAGTTTACAAATGCGAGATTAGCAGAACAAAGCTCTGCTAATTATCATGATTGTATTAAAGGAAAATATATACAAAATCTTCCAGTCTTTCCAGATTCTAAATTTGAAGAGGGCTGTCATCTTACATGTTGTTCTTGCTGACTTTGAAAAATTCAGAGTACGTGCTTATTCATTTAAGTCGGTGAACCTTCTTCCCAGAGAAGTAGTGTTTAGAAAAAGGAGCAAGTTTTACCAAAACCAAAAAGGTGGGAGTTCCAGCTTTTACAAAGTACCTGCAAAAAAATTAATGAAGAAGCTTAGCTTCCCATCTATTTTGAGCCATGTCAAAAAAGCTTACCTGCTATGTGTGCATGTGTCTTTTGTGGCACTATGATCACTGTCTCATTCCTGCCTTCTACCCCACCTCCTTGGAAGACACTATTATAACTTTAGAGGTTAGAATTTCAAACAAGACCAGAAATACGAACAAGATAATCTAACTGTTGAAACGAAGGAAGCCAGCTCAGTAGGGAAAGATCAATTTGTTGCCATCCATGACATTCTGGGAGTTTTGAAGTTTAGTATTTTATTTTACTAAACCACGAAGACTACCCTGCCTTGTCAGAGTTGTGACTGTTTTGCCATTCAGTCTCAGGTTGGCCCCAGTCATGATAAGACTAGTGAAATGCAGCTTCTAATCTGGGTGAACAACATACAGTCATTTTTGCTGCATTTCTTCACTTTTTAGAGCACACTTATGTGTGTCTAAGCTTACTGTATTCCTCTGATTTAATTAATAGCAGGATCTACTCAATGGCAGTGACTAGATTACACTTGAATAAAGAAACTGATTCTTAAAGAGTCAGTTGTATTCATTTAACATTACTTGTCCTTTCCATATGAAAGATTAGGGACTATTACGAATGTGCTGCCTCTGCCCCCTTCAGCAACTTGCCTTTGGTGCTGCAGTGCTTGTAACAATGTGGTTTCTGTGTCGATCTGGTATATCTCTCCTCTTTCTTCATCTTCATAGTAAAGCTGAGCAGTTTAATGAAACAAACATAATTTAGCATGTGAACAAGTAAAAGCAATACCATCTTTAATGCTTCCTGAGGGTGAAATCCAGTGTAGGTTTAAAAAAAGAAAAAGTTCTATAAATCTCAGCATGCTGTAATTGTAGGACTTTTTTCTGTCTAAACGTGCATGAATTATACCCTAAATACATAAGGACAATGCACCTTTTCAGACATATTATAGGACTCACAAAACTACCCTAACCCTGCATGTGTGCATACATTGATTCAGAGGCAAATCCCTGAATTCGGTAGGACTTATTCTCAGGTAAATCAGTATAGTTTTGCTACCCAAGTTAATATTCTAGTGAGGGGAGAGGGTTACATTTTTAAAGATGTATTTAGCTGCAGAAATTCAGTGTAATCTATGACTTCTTGGGAAGAAATTCAGAAAGCCATCTATGACTTTCCAGATACTTTTAACAATGCCTTCTGCCTCACCAAAATAATCTGTACCAGTTAATATTTATCCTGCTAAAAAACATCTCAGCATAGCTCCCAGGGAGTATACTAGCTGCTCAGGAGAAGTGTCTACATGCATTGACAACTGAATCTTAGCTTGTAAAATATATGTGACCAAACCATTTCTAGTGTCATATAAACCAATGCATGGTGACAGACCATCCACACTGAAGGCAAAAATAGAGATTACTTTTGACAATTCAATTAACATACATATTTTTGTGGGGTAAAAACTGTTCATACTATGAAACTGCTCTGAAAGTCCTGACAGTGTTTGAAATTTCACATTATTACTGTAATTTCTTAAGTGCATGCAATGTGCCTTGCACAGTATATAGAATTTTCCCAGAGGGCTCAGTCTAGACTGAAAGGGGTAGAAAGTAATCAGAGAATACAGGAAAAAATAAATGTGATGAACACATACTAATGCCACAGAAAATTAGCAGCACTCTAAAAGGTATATAATTTAGTAAAGTTAATGACTAGAATATCCACTGAGGGAGTGGGGAGGAAAGAACAAAAGTTAAATGTAGTTTCCTACCTCTAGTTCACTAGGAATATATTTTCTTTCTTTATCCCAAGGAGGTGGCTCCTGAAACATTACCATTAAATGGTCAATAAATCTGAAATGGAAGATGCATCTTGTTATTCTTCTAAACATTAGTGCTGTGCAACTGTTCTTTCAGCACTCAAGACAGAGTGATGCTTTTAATTCAAGGAAGCGTGGCTTCATAAATTCAAGGTATTTATGGCAGTTCTTCAGTGCTTTGTTACAATAGCCATGGTCTGAAGAAACTCATAAATCCATTCTCTCTTATTTGAGATGAAGAACACAATTCTAGGGTGTGTCCTGGGAGCCGTAAGATTGAGTAGAACTCCTTATCCGATCATGGAGAAAAATGCTTGGGAGGCTTTTGTATACAGTGTACAGAACACTCCTCCATGAGGACTCTGAGGGCAGAGAGGACCAGGAGTCCTGCTAGGATGGATCGGGGGAGCTTCTGGGTCCACAGGTTACAGAGCCCTTGTGTTGTGATGTTAGTATATAAATTCTGTTATACATTGTTTACAGTACTGTACTTTTAAGGTTTTAATTTCTGTAAACTGCCAAGAGTGTTTTGACTAACAGGCAGGATAGAAATGTAAGGAGAAAAAATGCCACCCTGAATGGGAGGGAAACTATGCCAGCCCCCAAATTGGCATATTTCTCTTTTATTGCTTTCAGAGAGAAGCAAAGTTCAGAAAGGGCAAACTATGGCTGAATAAGTCCCCTCAGAAGGAAAAATGCTGCATCCTCCTCCCCACTAGGCTTTAGGATTGGTGGAGGCTGTACTGTGGATCCTTCCTCACCAAACATAGTGGGACTGCTCTGCTCAGATTAACTTAACTTTTGCATAGCTTTGTCCCTGAAGTCACTAAAATAGAGTAAATCTGTTACTCCATGCAGTTTTACTCTAGGATTCTTCCTCTGCTGAATATATCTAGGCCTAATCACAATATGACCACATGTATTCAGATTAGCATCTCAACTGTCTTACTAAAATACTGGAAAACGTGGCAAAGGAATTAAGTTAATCAGGTCTGCAACCTCCTCCCTTCCACATGATATTCTTTTGTGTTTATGCTGCGCTTTAAAAATTAACCTGGATTCTTCATGAAAAGCCGCAATTAAGTCAGTTTGCCCATGCTCAGGATACAGGAACAGCACTGGCCAGGTAAGACTGCCATTCTCATCTAGGCAGACTTTGACACCATCAGCAGTTTCTGAGCCTAGTCCATCTAAAGACATCTCAGCAAGGCCTGCTGTTACTGCAGTGTCATCTTTAGAAAATGCTGGAGACAATTTGATATTTCGATCCTGCATCAGAAAAAGAAAAGAACTGACTTGAGGCAATGATCAAAATGCATTTTAATACATTTAAAGTTTCATGAGACATATTCTTCAAAAGAAAAAGCTACCTTGATTGCTTTGAGTAACGCTTCCTTCTGAGACTGTTCCCGCTTCTCCTCAAATTTTGCTTTTCTGAAATCCCGCTCTTCCATACGCTGAAAGACCAATAAAGCAACCAGAACTCTGAGTAGCTTAACATTCCACTAATCTCAGTCTGCTGCAGTTATGCTCAAGTTTCCATTTTTCTCCCCTGCTAACCTTCAGCCTGTCAGCTTTGGTCGTAGCTTCCAGAAGTTTCTTTTCTTTTGGATCTATTCTCAGTCCCTCTTCGCACCACGTCATGGCTTCAGAAAAATGTTTGAGTTCCAAATGGCACAGAGCTCCTAGAAAAGGGCTAAAGTTCTTTACACACATCTCTGGAGCAAAGATCAATATGCTTAACTAGACTTAGGGAATAATCCTATGGCTTCCATGTCTTGAGGCCACAGGATATTCAGGCTCCCAGATCCATGGTAGGAGACAGAACTCCAACTTTGGAACTGGGAATCCATGCTCTGATTTCCTGCCCCTGCTCCCCAGTTGCAGCTGGCATGGAAAGACTTGCTGGCAGCTGCTCCAAGGTTGGGAAATCAGTTTCAAAGAGGACATGGGGGTGTGGGGGGGGGAGACTGAGGCCACTAAGATGCAATATATCCTGATGGTGCCCCCCAGCTGAAAAAGGCTGCCTAGCTAAAATGCAGAATGGGAGGAGTAGGGAGGCAGAGACTGCTTTCACTGCAGCTGCTCCTCTACATTGGATACTTCTAAGTCTCAGTTCAGGTGAGTTATCCTGAAGTTAGCTAACTTCAAAAATAAAAGTAGCTTGCAGAGGAATTAATGCTATTCAGTATTCTTAGCATTTAAGTGCAGTGAAAGCCAGTGTGGTATAGGAGTTAGAGTGTTACACTGGTGTGCTGGAAATCTGGATTTTAATCCCCACTCAGCCATGAAGCTCACTGGGTGACTTGGGGTGAGTCACTGACAGCCTAACTGCTACCTCACAGGGTTATGAGACTAAAAGGGAGAAGAGGATTATGTGAGCTGCCTTTGGATCCTTGCAAGAGAATAAAAATTTAGCAATAAATATAATGCCAGCAAATGAAATGGTGGGACAAACTGGCATTTTGATCTAGTGGTTAAAGCACTAGATGAAAAGTTACGTGCCTGAATTCCAACTCTTTTGCAAATAATTGTTTCAAGGTGTCACTCCGTGTTGCCTATTTTCCTTTTATCAGAAGTAAACAGAGTCTTTACAATTAAAATCCTATTTCACAGCACTTGAGAAGTTTGCCATTTAGACCATTAACTTCAACCCATTTTGCACTGCTAAACAGCATAAAGTATTCCTTGCCCTTACGGATACAATATGTTACTGCCACCACTTCCATTATAATTTTGAAGTATCTATAGAAGATAGCAGTAGACTGCCTTACCTCTTGTAATTGCTTTGAGGTGGTTGGGTTTTAGTTTTCTTGCTGCTATAGCATCATTGAGAGCAGAGCGATAGTTGCCTAAAGAAAAACACAGTCAGTAAAACTTGCAGCATTACATTGGATCACTCAAGAGCATTATCTATATGAGGAGGCAGGTTGCTTCCTAAGAAAAACTGGACCAAGCTGTTGCAAGATAGATTGGGGAATCAAATGTGAAAACATTAATTTAGGGTGCATTCTTATGAATGTTTAAACAGAGAAAGTCTTACAATTCCCAACATGCCATAGCTGGCCTGATTGGCTAGGGAATGCTGGGAACTATAGGACTTTTTCAGTTTAAACATGTACATGATTATACCTTAAATATATGAGGTCAGTGTACTTTTAAGATTCAGAAAATGATCAGTGCAACATCTATATATACCAACTCAGAAATAAACCTCCCTGATTTCAGTGGAACTTACTCTCATGTGAGTGAGTACAGGATTGCTGAGAGAGAGAGAATGTGTGGTGTGTGTTTTGAAGTATGTCTGATTTTGCTGCAGAAATTCAGTTCAGTTTATGATTTCTTGGCTTTCTTTCCAGACTACCCTTATTAATACCCCCTGCCTCACCAAAATGAACTATATCCTGCTGATAAATATAATAGCTGCTCAATAGACATTTGTGTGCACCGATGAGAGAATTTTAGCTTGTAGAGTATATGTGACCAAGCAATTTCTAGTGGAATATAAATCAATGCATGCCAACAGATTATCCACACTGAGGGCCAAAGTAGACCTTACTTGTGCAAATACTATTAACATGCATGTTTTTGTTACATAAACAGAACAAGTGGAGAAACTGATCAGCCTTGGGGCTACGGGAGGAGAAAGGGAAAAGAAGTTTAACTTTTGCTTCCTCAAAAACGAACTCTCTGAAGCTATTTGTACTTCAAAGTGAGCTCCCACTGCAAAAAAAGATCTTCAGTGGGGCATTTCCCCCCAGAACTGCAGTAAAGAGAGGATTATACCTCTGTCACATTCCCAAGTTGCTCTGTATTCTCAATGATTTCTATATACATAACAATATCATGCATTTAAACAATTAACATACTGTCTTGTTTGACTCTGAGAATGTGACCTTAAAGAGGCTTCCATTCAGCCTAATTGCTAGGCTGTTGACCTTGCCCTTCTGCAATGCTCTTTGCTGTCAATATTCATAAGGGCATATACAAGTGCAGTCTCTCACCTCCATGCATTCTTAGGAGTTTGCATATTACTGAATTCCCATTTTTCTTAAGTATAAGGAAGTTGGAGTAAATTATTATCAATTCTGTAGTAGTATTTGGAGTATTTTAAAGTATTTTAAATGGAAAATCTTCATCTTATTCACTCTAGAAAAACTTGTGATGTAGGCCTGTGTATTCTCACTTTCTATGCAAAGATGTACCTTACATTTCTTTGTATACTGATCATGGACAAACTGTGAATGTCTATTTAGCATGGGTCTCTGGGTATGTGTCTAAAATGTAAGTACCCTTCTGATTTAAAATTAAATTCATGACAGTTGGAAAACATAAGGAAGTGAAAAATCTGACATCTTGACATTTTTGCTATATGGAATTTTAATTAGACACAACTTTTAAGTACAGCAAGTTACCCAAATGAAACTGGGCTGCAGCTCTGTTCGTATGAAGCACGGTGTTCAGTTCTATGTCACTACACTTCTTTTTTAGTCCTTCTGTATATGATATCACAGCCTTCTTATAATCCTTCTCCTTGAAATAATCATTGCCTTCATTCTTATAAGTCTTGGCTTGTTCTTTTAAAAAATAACAAACACACATAACAGTAGAAAGGCAATAGTTAGGCAATAAACAGTAGAAAGGCAAAAACTAACCTATCTGCTTTACTCCTTTAAAAGCCAGTTATTATCAAAAGATGCTAAGCTAACTCCAACAGTCAGTTCACATAATCACTGAAGCCCAGCATAGTTGCAGTGCATGCCAACAGCCATTTTTTATATTCAGCCACAGTTCGCCATGTTGAGTGGAGGGGGAAACAACCATCCAATAATCCTACAATAAGTCATAGGGTATTGGAGGATTGCTTTCCCTTCTAACAAGGCATGCCACCTGCTTCTGAACAACCAAAGAAGCCTTCACCGGGGTTTGAATAGGCATCCTGGCACCCATAGGTGGGTTACAGTAAAAGGGTTAGAAAACACTGCAAATTCCATTAGTTGTAACATAATATGTAAGCAGAGATTACAGAAACTACCTTCAAGAGTTTGTTCTTCATCAAAAATGATAGACTGAAGACATGCCAACTCAGGATTCTGCCTAGGATCTATTTCAGTAGGGGCTTTCTTCATGAACATTGGGACCTGGTCAAATTCCTGTCAACAAATGCAGACAGTCCAATTTACCAAGGATGAGAAGAAAGTTCAGAACCGCTACATCTTGAGAACTATACTTTTTATCTGAGATAGTTCACAGAAGATCTTAGGTCCTGGCCTATGCATTTAATTGAACAATTCAATTTTTCTAAAAGACTTCCATTATTCATAGTTTTTAGTTGTCAGTGCAAGCACAACTGTTTAACCCTTTTCTCTTGCCAAAGCTTCATTACTAGGGCAAGACAAACTAGCTATTTTTCTGTTACAGAAAAAACAAAATTGTGTAATAATATAGATGCTGATACATCCATCATGAAATCCTATCAAGTTCTCTATACTTCCATGTTACTCTTCAGTTATATAGACAGCCAACTACAAATACATAATACATTAAATTCTCCAAACAGGAAAACCCCATGCAAACACCAGTCTCACCAGTCCCAATCCAACTTCATGTGCCAATCCTCCACTCAGTAGTGGGGAGGGGATGGGGCATGGAGTCTGTTAAGAATGGAACATCATCAAGTTCACTTAGAGCTGATTCTGACTTACTCTCCCCAATTCACTGTCTTTAAAATATGAATAGAGAATCAGATAAAATGGTATAAAACAGAAGCCTTGAACAGGGCAGAACAGCGAAAAGTTACATTTCAGTGCCATTTTTATCTATTTCCCTTTCATCTCTTAAATAGATGAACAGCAGGGAAATGTAACTTTAGAGCCAATATTTTATTTGACTAGCATCTTAACACTTTACAGCATACTTCAACTAGCATTTTGCTTGCTCTTTTCAAATAACTGTAATATTTCCATCCTTTTAATTCAATATAACATGGGAACTAAAAATTATGATCAAAACTAGTATTAAGCAACCAAGGAGCTTGTAGATATTATACATTATTTTGTCAATAATAAAATTATTATTATTTATACTGCAAGACATAGATGAGCTGACTACTGTTTATGCAGCCACAATGTCCTTTTGATCAGTTCACCTTCCATTGCATTCATACACATTTTCTAGCAATATCAAAGTAAATGCATGTGGGGAAAAATATGACTGGGGGTTCACAGACATATTGCAAGGAAACCAAATAAAATCATTTTTCTAAGGCCTTAGTATCATTCCAAAGGAATTTTTGATTCTAACATTTTAGACACAACAGATATTGTCACAATGCATTTCACACCATCAGTACTCTATTAATTAGACGGACAGCATGCACTACAGACTATTAGACTATGGGTTTCAGTTTCTGAATGAGTAAAAGAAGCACTGTATGCACAGAACTGGTAAAATGGCAGATAAGTTTTTGTATTTGGGTCAAATTCAGTATGTACATAATGAAGGAATAAATATTATGCCTAAAAGCAATTATTTTAAATAGTTAAAAGAAACAGGGACACTGAGGACAAATGTTCATGACCCTATATTAAAATGACTGATGCCAAAATAACCTGCCAGAAGGCAGTCACATATTTTACTCCAGAAGCCCTGCTCCTTTACTTCCAGGTGCGGGAGAGATGACAGGTTGTATGGACACTAGAAGCGCTCTTGAAGAGATCTCTCCTTTACCCTTATTTCCAATGCCATGACATTGACAAAAGTTTCTGAGGCTCAGCTTTGGCTCAGATTAACAGGAATAACCCTTCACACGTGGAAAATGTGTTAAATCACAATCCAATATACATGACACATGCCCCAAGCAGGCACAAATAGATTTACACTGCTTGAGTGTCAGGCACATTAGCAATGTCTATCATAACCCTGAAAGATAGATTAGTTTACTCCATTTCAGACTGCAGACAGTGGCTCAGCTCCCAAAAAGTGGCTAGTCTAAGACTATCCTGGCAGCTAGCCCCATACAGTGACCAAAGGCTATGGGAAGACTTCATTTCCTCACCAAGGCTTACTGAATGACGTTAGGGTAATTCGCCCTCAGCCTACCTCTCAGGGCTGTTAGTAAGGCTAGACAGGAAAGAGAAGCGAGTGCGTGTGCCGCCCTGAACTCTCTCAGAGAAGAAAAAGCATGTGCTACGAAGAGAGAACCTGTTAGTTCACTGATCGGTCCTGAAGCTGCGGCACTATCATGAAGCACCGGCACAGGGCACTCGCTCGATTACTGCCTGGCAGCCTTTTCGCCTTGGGACCGGCTTATGCTGCTGCCCAGGAGCTCGCTCGCGAGGGGAGCTCCGAGGAGGGCAGCCCTCGTTGCCAGCCGCCCCCCGCCGCCGCAACGCGTACCTCCTCCCAGTTCGCCTGGCTGAGGGCTCCCTCGTAGCGCTGTGGGCCCCGGAATTTGTCCAGGAAGGCATCGAAGTCCGCATCCTCGCCGTCCGCGTTCCTCGCCATCCCGGACCTCCTTCCAGGCCCACCCGCGGCTTGCCGGCCTCAGTCGCTCCGCCCTTCCGGAGGCGGCCCTGCCTGGTTTCAAGGCATCGAGGCACGGGAGGCTGGCGCGGCCTGCTTCGCAGCGGTGGTGACGCGGTCCTGGAGCCAGGATACGGCTGGCGGCGACATGGTGCACGTTTTTCTGTCTAAACAGGATTGCACGCTTATATGCCAACCCCACGCCCCTTCGTTTGGCAGGAAACCTCACTGAACGGAAAGGGATTAAAACAGAAGTAAGATCGCGCGTTTTTCCAGTGGTTTACACACCAGCCTTCCCCAACCTGGCGCCTTCTTGATGTGTTGGACTACAACCCCTCGTATTCCCAGCCACCGAATTTGGGATGTTGAAAGATGTAGATAGGAGGGCACCAGGGTAGGAAGGCTGGGTTACACAAGTTTATAAAATCGAAAGTCCCTTCTACTTTTCAAGCCCTACTCAGCTAATGTGTACTCTTATGCTTGTTTGTCCCACCAGCAAGTTGACAATCTCTCCTCTCCCCAATTTTAAAAAATTAATGTGCAGTCTCTACGTGCGATAAATTGGTATAAGCCACTAATTGGTACGCATGCATACATCAATTAGCATGAAATTGCGAATTCGTGTATAGAACGTTTCACCACCAAAACATAAAACTCCAAAAGCAAAACTTCCAGGCTCAATTAACTTCAGAAGCTTTTTAGATCAGTTTGTTTCACTCAGCTTGGGCACCAGAGTGCCCTTATTGTGATTCTACGAGTGACACATATACCTATTTTCCACTTGTGGATAGGAATAAGCAAAACAACTCCTCCCACATGCCATTGCAATTTATGGACCTTTTTCTTTCTTACTCTTTATAGTCTGTGTGCCCGTTTTAGAGTGCAAGAAGCAACATTTTTTTTAAGGTTACAACAGTACTATGATCCACCTCCATAATGCCTATTGTTTTGATGAGCTTTTTGCTGTGCATTATTTCCTTATCTTCTGCATGAATGTGTGTATATAATCTATATTTAGAGGGAAAAAACAGCAGTGCATTTGTCTTTCTGTAGCAAGATTTGCAGGATTGTTTTAGACAGGCTAAGAAGCAGCTGCTCCATGCTCTGATAATCTTTGATGAAAAAACCCCTTTGTAATGTTGCTCTAACAAGCAAATGCTCAACAGGCTGGATTCTTATGGAACCAGTGTTTTTTTAATTATTCAGGTGGTTGGTAAATCACTGATTCCCTTTGTGAGCTTGTTTCATGTTCTTGCTGAGGTTGAGTGTAAGAAAGTGATGTTTGCAGCCTTTTTCATTGTTATGAAAAGGTTTTCCCTCTGCTAACTAGATATTAGCTCCTGCTGGCTGATTTCCAGAGACTGAGAACACCAAAAAGACTGGATGAGGTGATGCGGACAGAGTTGTGGGATCTGGAATTCCTTGTGGGCTTGTCAGAAGCACTGTTACTGGCCCCTGTGTTGATGTTATCCTTCTGCCTGGTCTGCTGTTTGGAGAGAACAGCAGAAACACGGTCATGGGCATGAGCTGCAGCTATGGACACAGAGGCATCAGGATCATGCATCAGGCATTCCAGAGCTGAAAATGAAAAGGAACAATTAATACACTAAAGGGTTCTGATCCTAATCAACAGTAAAAGTTAACATCACCACCACCACTTCAGTTAAATCTTCAGAATTATCCAGAGAGGGCTTGGTGTTGTTGTTAGTTCTCTTAGAAGAAGAAGAAGAAGAAGAAGAAGAAGAAGAAGAAGAAGAAGAAGGCGGAGGAGGCGGAGGAGGCGGAGGCAGAGGTGGAGGCGGAGGAGGCGGAGGAGGAGAGATCTGCTAAAAAGAATTCAAATATTCAGCTCCAAATAGATTGGATAAATTTACTCATATTTTCTGACACATTTTCGTTAGGTTTGAAAGTCCTGTGTTTGATGTGGTGGAGAAATGAGATTCAAATATATGCGAGAAGGAAAGCGATGGGGAGAAGGGGGAAAGCAAAATATCAAAATGAGGAGGTGGAGTTCAACTAGGGCTACTAATAGTTTTTAAAATCTGAACAATGCTACACTTTTCATTATTTCTGTGCAAGGGTGAAGGCTAATATTTACCTTTTGAAAAGGAAAGACAAGTCTCATAGTATTGCAGGGTTTGCCCTCCAGACCTGATTTCATAAACTGTAGCACGATTGTGTGTATGAAGTTCTTTTTATTGAACCTTAGCTTCCTAAAGGTACATAATCAAACCGTCCTCCTGCCAGTCTTAGAAGAAGTTTTGACTGATGGAACTTTGAAGATATGTAAAGATATTTTGCATATTACTGTAAAGAGCATCTTTGATGCCTTACTCTACCCCAGGTGAAACCCAATGGTTTGTGCAATTCTGAATGTTCAAGAATGTAGTTTGTAAATTGACTGAGAGACACAAAATTAAAGAAATGTTTTATTTGATTATGTCATGTGTTCTGTGTATCACCTATGTAGATATATGATTTATCCAAAGTGATACAGACTAGTCAAGTGGAAGAGAACATAATTTAAAGGGAAATGTTTAAGCATGCAAGGAAACAAAATTAGAAGAGAACCATCCAGATGCACTCTGTTTCCCAGCAGAATTAGGCTTCTGTCAGCCCATTCAAGAACTAGTGGTGTAATGTTTAGGAGAACAGGACTGAGTCTTAGGTAATCTGGGTTCTAGTCCCTGCTCCACCATGCAGCCAACTGGATGACTTTGGACCAGTCACAGACTCTCAGCCCAACCTACAAAACAGGGTTTTTGTGATGATAAGATTGAGAGCAGGAGGAGAATGATCTAAGCTGTGTAAAAAGAAACAAACTAGCCACTCTGAGTTTGTTGTAAGGAAAAGAGCAAGCTCTAATTAATAAATAAATAAAACTATCTGGTGGACTGCCAGGATTGATTTGTTAGAAATCAGTGGCACAGGAATGACTCTCCTTACAGGCCCTGTGTAGCGATGATGGCAGGATCCCTAAGAATGCTAGTGAGGGTGGGGATGTGGGTGCAGGGCAAGGCACTTGTGGTAGGCAAATGTGGCCTTGGAGGGCTGTGGATTGCCCATTCCTGCTTTAAATCCAAGCCTGTACAAGCTTATAGGAGAGAGGGTGCTTTTTGGTTTTGTCTGTTTACATTTGCCCAGGAATCTAAAGGACATTTTTGAGAGACTTGCTAAATTTTGTAGGACACTGTGGGACAATTTGCTTGAAACATTCAAAGCCTTAGACAATTTAATGACCATTCCAGAACAGGTTTGAGACACATCATCATAGTATTATCTTTTCATTTACTTGCAAATTAGCTCAGAAAAAAATCAACCTGAATGAATTTCTAGATCTACCACCTTTCCTTTGTGTTCATTACTCAGCACACATACATATGACTACAACAATCTTATATTGCCTTTTTGTACTTACTATGATATATCATGTCCAAGTCTACCATTCCTGCACTGCTGTCCATATGTAGTATCAGAAAACCTAGAAGCGCCACAGAAGCAATTCACGATCCTTTTATCAAGTCACTGTCTAGTAGCAGTTTATATATTCAGCCTAAATGTATATTCTTGAAAGTAAGCCTGATTATTTCAATAATATTCCCAAGGAAGCATATACAGTGTTGCAGTTTCACAAGCATGCCTTAGACAGGGGTAGACAATTTGTGTCCTTGCAGATGATTTGGCCTACAATTCCTTTTATCCCTAATCAGTATCACTGATTGTGAGGAATCATATCTGGAAGGCTACAAGTTAACCATTCCTGCCCTAGAACAAGATAGTTGTGTGGTAAAGTTTCTCAGGTTAGCGAAATATCCTCTTAGTTACACTAAGCAGAGAACTTATCCAAACCTTCTGTCAACAGGATATTCCTATTTGCCTAGAGAAGGTGGAGAAAGTTCCTGGTAGCGCAGCATTTCCACTGGCAACTCTTTAACAGTCCTGCTGAAGGACTGCCCTTTGTTCTTGTATTAATTACTTCAAACATTAAAATGAAGATCTTGTCCGCTCTCATACAAGAATGGGGAAGGTTGGAATTTTTTGCATTTACCAAGGAACATAATAGAAGCCCTTTTTATGGAAAGAAGTTCATTCTCGGTGTAGAAAAGGCCCTGGTACAAGAATCTCTTGAGATTTCCCTCTTGTTTCTGTACCTGAAAACTCAAGAAATGCATAATTGGCTTCATCCAAAATGTAAATAGGACAACCATCACAGACTTTAAGCTAAACTTTTGTTCAGAAAATGAGTCATAAGCTAGGAAGCATCTTGTTTAAATCTCATCTGTGTTATAAACTTAGCAAGAGATATTAAATAATTCAGTCTTGTGTCTGTAATATGGAAGGAATGAATAGTACTGGTCTATCTCATAGGGGTCTTGTAATAGCTACTCTGATAACAGAAATGCTTGGTCTAGCCAGTATGTTCATTAAGTATTTTCCAATCTTTTCTGCTCATCTTCTACCTCATCAGTGGCTTTTAGAGAAGTCCAGTAAAAAATTACATAAAGCTTAGTTCACTGTGAAACAGAACACTGGACTTATTGTGATAGGTTCATTTTCTACAGTGGATGGAAAGTATCCTAGAATGAATGGGACAAGCAACGCATTTAAGGATGTCTCCCTCCACTGTAGGGGGAAAAAAGATTTTAAAGTTGCATATAATCCCCCCCATGGCCATGAACTCATAATTAAGGTTGTAACCTTGATCATTTTAACACATGCCAGCTTTCTCTCTTTGGTCACTTTGCTTAGCCCAGCTGAGAGGCAGTTTTAAAATGCATACATTAAAATGATAATGCAATATATAATGTGTGTGGTCTTTTCCCTTGGGTCATGCTTCTTGCCACTATTAGGCTTATTTTATTTGCTCTTGACTCAAAAATCATTTGTGCTAGCAAAGAAGTTGAAAACAAGGGACTTACAAGGTACTGGCAAGTTTCATCTAGAACTTCTTCATGCTTGTACCACGCTTTCCCACATATAAGCTGCTTTGGAGGTTTCCATCCCAAGAAGTGAAAGGATTCTTCC